TTTTTTTTTTTCTGGGCTTGAAATTGTTGCGTTGGTATTTGTCATCTATCTGTAAGTAATTACTTCTAAGCACTGTACCTGGGTTATTCAGACGGTTGCATATCAGTCAGCGCTGTTTGCTTATTAAAGATATGCCCCTCAGTATTAAGTGGCCTGGGATAGCTGTGCGGGCTTGCATGATGCATCCCAGTGACATCACTAACAACGAGTTACGCTGACCATCAGACCATCTTTTAGTAAAAAAAGACATCTTACCAAAAACCATTGAATTTTAGTTTTAGCATTTTCGTCAATGTATTATCATCTGCTTTGCCTGTTGCTGGCTCCGGCACTAGACCTTGCAGCGCTGCTTAAGCTTGGTACCACGCAGAGTGTAGCAGTTAAAGGAAAATTGTTGTGTAATGGCAAACCTGCTACGAAAGTTAAAGTCAAACTCTACGATATTGATGGTACGTTGATTCAGAATTTGCAACAGTTATCGGTATCTACTATGAGCAGCGTAAAAGCATAAAGGAACTTCTGCTGTTACAGAAAATCAAAAGGCCTATCCTCAATTTAATCACAAAAACAAAACTTTTTTTTTGGAATCTGCCATTTATCTTCGGTATAAGTACGATGTCCTTTTACCACTCATCAACGAAAAAAACTAGTAGCTACTTCCTCTGTGAAAAGTGAAATCTAAAATTACTAGGATCGATCCAGGCGCCTATACCAATCTGACGTGGAAATGAGAGTGGACTAGACAGTGCCAACAAATGGCGCAGTGGAAGCCCTGAGGAGACTGAAACATATTTTGCCCAGCTAAATTTTTGTGTTGTGGGCCAGTGTCCGTTGAACCAGCAGATGATAAAGCAGTGAGAGAAGCAAGATTGATGTCAGATTAGGTGATAAAAAATAGCTCATTGTTTCTGAATATGTTGCCTTAGCTGAATACGCGAAAAATATAATGAAAAATTTTCAGTTGCGCTGGATGATTTGATGGCAGCAGGAAGCAGCGACGAAAATGGTGATTTTTTGCTGTTTGGATCAGAAACTGAAATCACTCGGATTGATCCTAAACTCAACATCTACCACAACTGCAACGACGAACGCAAGGTAATCCTCGAATTTCACAAAATAAGCAAATACGTTTGGGTAGAGTTTTTTGTAATAGTCTTTTGCTACCAAGTATATGGCGCCGACGATAAGGTTAATTGTCATCCGAATGACCTCCGTACTAATTGGACGATGTAGCTCGAATATAGTTGTGCCCGCATGTGGATGCAAAGAATCCCCAGAAACAGTGTTTAGGCAAACCAGAAAATCTTGGCAGCTATTCAACGTGAAGACACAGAAGAAGGCTGTTTTCTCCTTTTCTTGAATCAAAATTTCAGCAGTGTTCTCAAGTTTGATGTAGGGAGGAAGAGGTCATGAAACTTCATTCTCCTGCCTCCCCTATCCCCTTCTCCTCTTCCCCTCCCCCCTCAGAATGGAGCTTCAAAATAACGTCTTTATTATTCGCGGTTCTCGTTTCCTCGAGATCAATTGTTTTTCAGCTATTTTTGATTTGCATAATAGTATTTTTTCTCAACACCTTTCAAAAAGACTGATTACACCCAGAAATTCTGCTTTTATAGGAATGCCTTCGAAAAGTATCGATCAAAATTCCGAGAAGTTTCGTCAAAGAAGGAGAAGAAGCAGGCGAGCCTTTTGATGCGGGTATTCTGAATTTGTCCAGTAAATTTCCCGGTGAAACACGTGATTGCTTCAACTGAATAGCACTCGTACCTTCATTAGGAATTAGTTGCTGTATTGTAATTTTTTCAAATTTATGGGACTACGATCACCGAAACGTCCAACAGTCAGGCAAACAGGTTAAGTGCTCCATGCTGGCAACGTTATCGGGATGGGTGTATTTGTATGCCGGTCAGTCACTGCGGCTTTGAGCCAAATTTCTTTGGCACATTGACAAATATACGCAAAGTTTAAAACTATGTGAATATATGATAAGTTTGAAACTATGTGTATTCAAAATTCCATTCTGCTCTGAAACTCTGGAAAGTAGAAATGTCTTGTGGAAGGTGGAATCTTAGACCCTGCCAGTCCCTCTTCGTTTATTCATTTGTTTCGATGCATTCCGGGAAACTGAACCGCTACCATTCGAGCTACTTTTGATTGCACTGTTTCTCGTAAAAGACGAATATGAGGATTTTGACCCCTAACTTTGAATTCTTATCTTTAGCGTAAATTTTCATGCACATTTTGTAAGAGTTTTGCCAGCTTACTACTTATACAAGCAGTCAAAAAAGGTAGCTTGTTGATTGATGCAGTAGTTCAAATTGTTCCCTTTGTCTGGAAAGCAACCGGTGGAAAATCAGTTCCATAACAGTTTATTGA